CTGGTCCATTTGGGAGAGACCTTGGGGGAGTAGCCGCAAGTAAACTTCACCGGCTCCAACTTTTTTGGGGGGAGGAAACTCCCTTAGGCCGTTTTGCAACCTTGGAGCCAACGGCCCACGATCCCCGCACCAAGCTTCGAAGCCCGGCGTCAGCATCTCCGGCGCATCCGCGCAGGCGAAGGCGGTGGCGCCAGCTCTCGACAGCCGCGGGCAATGCGGCAAGGAACCGCCGAACCGCAGGTCTTAGAAGTCTTAGACGTTTGGACCTGTGGATGGACGAAATCCATTTCGCGCCACCGTTCAGAAACCCTGGAATGCTGATTCCCCTGTAAATACCAACAAACAACGGTTTCAAGCATGGCTTCAGGTCTTAGAAGTGTGGACCTATGACCATAGGTGGCCTTTTGAAAAAAAAGATGGCCCTGGTAAATGGAACAAAACCCATCTAAACCAGTGCCAGGCTCACATAAAAAGGATGCCTATGACTGTTGGGGTGGGGTCATTTTGTTTGGTTGAAGAAGGGGAGAAAACCACTAGCAACCGAGGCCAGTGTTCAGCGTAGCTTGAATTAGTTGGATCAGAATCACATCCACCAAACATGTTTGACGATGTTTATCCTTGAAAACCGTAGAAATCCAAGGTTTCCGAAGAACCCAAGTTGAACATCTCGCGAAAAATTACTTGACTTCAGTTCAGACTGTGCAAGCACGGAACTCACAGGCAACGTTCTTGCAACTGCCCGCAGTTTCGGGCTAACTTGCAACAGTTCTGTTGGAATGCCAGCATGTTCTCATCTCCCAAGCGGATTCTTTCCTTTGGAACCCCTGTGAGGCTCACGAGCATCAAATGCTGCGGCAGTTGCCGCTCCAAGCTCTACTCGTTCTGGGGTTCCCGGGAAAGAACTGCAGGGAATCTGGTGCCAGCCACTTTCTCGTGACTCAAGTGCTCCAAGACCTCTGCCAGCTCAAATTAGCAGACCCCAAGAAAAGTGGAGGGTGTTCTGGGTATGTGTCAAAATAGGAGACCCAAAAAAGGGGTCGTTGTGTCCCTTCAAACCAAGAGGGAAAGGGTACCCTCAAAAAAAACGGTGTAAGTTTGCTTGCCTTGACAACCACTGGATTGGGCAAAGTTGGTCGAAGCACAGCCGCCATGACCCATGCCTAAAAAAGCACTGCGTTGCGGGTAGGCGAAATTTTGTCTCTCGATTCTGTTCTGTTATTTGTATATTCGAAGATCTCGATTTTAAATCATAGGCTAAATGACTAATTCTTAGCGATATCCATATTATTGAACCTTAACGAAATTCTAGATATATACATATATAATTAATAATAAATAGAAAAATATATATGTCCAATTAATTTTGTTAATTCTAATAAAATTAAATTTTAGAATAATATATATATATATATGTTTAGTATAATTAATAAATTTATATAATCTTAATATTATTAATTTAATATAAATAAATTAATATTATTATTGATTAATAAAAATATATTTAGATATAATTAAATATATAATTAATTATTATATATATAAAATATTTTTGTTTGGTATAATATATTAAAATGTATTTTAGAATATAGATATAAATATATTAAACATAATCTTAATATATATTCTAAGTTTATGTAATATTATTAGGAAGATTATAATGGGAATATAATTTAATAGAATTTTAGAAAATATGAAATTATTTAAATTTGTTTGGAATAAAAATTATAAATATAAATATATTTATAAAATTATTTATTATATATTTATTAATGAATTTTAAAGACCAAAAACGCAATGAGGCAAGACCAAAAGATTTGAATTTCACACTTAACATTATTTTAAACGAGAAAAATGGGATAAGAATCCAAAATGACTTACAAACATATATATTTTAACATCAAATAAACAAAATTCATAAGTAAACATTCTCCTAACCGATTTTGGCTTATAAAATTTAATTTATAATTATTAGATTTAAATCATTTTTTTTAATAGTGTTTTTTAATGATTATTAAAAAACATATGGTTTATTCTATATAAAAATAGAAATTAAGTTTGTTTTTTATATATATATAAGAAAAATATATATAAAACAAATTCCCTAATCCCGTAACAAAAACAATATATTAGAAAAAGAAAAAAACAAAATACCAGAGCTATAGAAACATTTTTAAAATAAATACAAAAACAGATATAACCATAAAAAAAACAAGAAACAATAATTGAGAGAAAATACAATTAATATAAAACATATAAATATACAATATCATAAAAGGAAATATAAAATAAAGACAAAAAAGAATAATAACAAAATACAATTAAACAATAACTAATATAGAGAAAATAATTTATCATAAAAAAAGAAGAAGAAAGAAACACAAATTATACAAGCAACGCAACATTAAAAACAAAAAAACACAAAAACAAAACCAAAACTTAAAAAAAAAAAAACGTTCAAACAAAATACTATTAACAAAAATAAGAATACAAAAAAACACACAAAAGAAACAAATAAAAACAATAAAAACAAAAGGAAAATAGAAAATAAAAACAAAAAGAAAAAAAATAAAACACAAAACAAACAAAACACACACAAATAATAATACTAATACACATATACACACACCAAGAAAAATATACCAAAAAACACACAAAAGAAACAAATAAAAACAATAAAAACAAAAGGAAAATAGAAAATAAAAACATAAAGAAACAAAATAAAACACAAAACAAACAAAACACACACAAATAATAATACTAATACACATATACACACACCAAGAAAAATATACAAAAAAAAACACAAAAAACAAAAACAAAATAACATTATACAAAAAGATAAATAAAGAAAACATAAATAACAAATAAAGACAAAAACACAAATCAAAAACACAGAAAACAAGAGAAATAAACGCAGAGAAGCAGAGATGCAGAGAAGCAGAGAGGCAGAGAAACGGAGAAGTGGAGAAGTAGAGAAGCGGAGAAGCATAAAAAAAAATAAAAAGAAAAAGAAAGAAGAAAAAAGCCAAAACAAAACACACAAAACCAAAAAACAATCACAAAACAACATAAAAAGAAGAAAAGAAACAAACAAAAACAAAAACAATTCAATTAAATTCCAACAATTAATCCATCAAATTTATTATAAAAACCACCAAATTCTAAATATATGTAAAAATCTAAACTCAATAATTTGCAAAAAAAATAATATGCCATAAAAAAACGAAAATAAATATATTTATCCTTTATAAATACAAAAAATCGGTCGGAATACCACAACAATTCTATAATATACAAAAAATATAATTCCAAAACCATACCAATTTTATAATTCTTAATAATTATTTTAATAATACAAAATATATTTTATTGTTTTTAATATTTTAATATTATTATAATTAAAAAACATAAAATATAGAAACAAATATATATATATATATATATTCAATATATATATATATATATTCAATTTATATTTATTATTAACACATATTCATATTATAATACATTAAATTATAATATATTAGAGAAAACCCGTTAATTCCATCAACGGCAATACCAACAAAAAAGAGAAAGAAAAAGAAAGAGAGAGAGAAAGAGGGAAACAAACAAACAAACAAAAACAATAATACACAAAAAGAAACCCGCGAAACTTACAAGGGGGGGAGATATGGCACGCAGCAATGCGGAAGTATGCCAGCTTTGAGAACCGACCCGCAAAAACAGGCACAAACATACAAAAAGATAAAGACAAAGACAAATATAAATAGACGTTGCCAAATGGACAGACACGAACACTCGAAAAATACAAAAAACAAAACGAGAACCCGAGAAATAGAGAGATATAAATAAACAAGTAGAGACAAATAAGCACAAACACCAAAAAGCAACAAGTTAGGATATACAAAGATATAAAACAAAAAAAGAGATTAAAAAATAAATAAATACAGATATATGGAAATAGACTTAAAGACACAGAGAGAAATATGAATATAAAGACACCCGGTACGAAAATTTCCAGAAATTTCGATTCGGACAAGTCCCCAAATATAACCCGGCAATATTTTTCGGAAAGCCGCTAAAATTTGCGGGGGTAATATCCGGAAACCTAAAAGCCATATCGCCGGAAACACCCAAAATTCGGGAAAATTTAACCGGGTTAAAAATCCCCTCGAAATTTCGACAAAATTTCGAGACCTTCCAAGCCGCGCAAAAAGGCGGGAATTTGTGCCACGGAAAAAATACCGGCACAAACATAACTGCTCGCCGCAAACACTACAATTCGGCCGGAGTACCATTATAACGACTTACCAATTTACGAGAAATACAATCTCGAAGCTATACCGATTTATAAAAGAATTAATAAATCAACATAATATATATATATATATATTTTCAGATTATAATTTACCTATAAATATATTTTTATTAATATATATATATATATATATATATTAGCGGGGGCCCGCTGCTTTCCAATGGCGTACGAGATGAAGCCCATAGTAGGAAATAGAACATGAAACAAAAATATATTCCATTTACTATAAACAGATATATATGATTATACTCACAAAGACAGAAATAAGCAGACCGAGCAAGTGCTTAACAAAAAGCGATTTCGGAATATTTCGAGAAAATAAATAATTGTGATTTTGAGATTTTGCCTTAAATCCCTGCCCAAGCAAAACAATTCGAGAGACTATGCACTGCATTACGCTAGAGACCCAATTCTAAAGACCCAAATATCTAAAGACGAATTATAAATATGATTTCTCAATAGCACCTCAATATGTTTCTAAAGAGAGAAGAAATCCACTCATAAACAGCCGGAGCTGGATCAAACACACAACTAATTCCACAAACTAATCTATAATATAATAAATAATTCAGCCCAAATCTTCAAATCGAGATGATCGAAGACATGAACCACAAAACAGAATCGGGAGATAAAATCTCGCCCATCCACAACCCAACGCCATTTTAGGCACGTGGCGCCTGGCTTACCACTTCGCGCCCGCAGCAGCGCCACCCTTCTTCTCCTGCTCCGCGTACCAGGCATTCCACTCCTCCTCGGTCCAATCCTGGCGCTCCGGAGCGCATAAACCCTATACTGACTCACTGTACAGGCCCTTTCGGAACAACACATCAACAAAAAAAACAAACAACCAAACCACTTTGTTGCTGGTGCAAGTCTGTGGATTGCCAAAACAAAATGTTAGTCAATACTGTATAATGAAACTAAAGGCCTCAGGGTTGAAAGGTCAGCTTCGAGCAGAAAGGGTTGAGATGCACATCTTGGACACTTGCACTCACTGTCAAGAGGTGGTGAAGTCGCTCTGAGCAGAAATGCAAAATGTGGGAACTGCCGGCTTTTTGAAGGCGTTCCCAACATCTAGCCCTGAGTAGTTGCTTGCGCCAAGCAACCCATCTGCGAATCTGCGAGGGACGCAATGCACACAGAGAACCATACGTCGCTTGAAAACATCCTACAAGGAGTCAAACCGAGTTGCTCATAGAATCCGTGGGGATTCGGCTGAGGTGAGGTATCCAGCTGTTTTCTCTGGTTTTACATTGAGAACTGGTCGCTTTAAATGACTTGCGCTTGATTGACGGTGATGCTGAGCGCTGTCCGTTATTGCCTGTTTCCCTTGGTCACTAAAGAGGTCAGTGCAAATGCTGGCATTGCAAGGCTTGTTGTAAAACTGTTCTCATTTGATCAACTGGCAGGGTGGGCTTACAAGTGTCAGGAGTGGTTCCTCCGGAAATCATGTCATGATCCGCAGCTCAAAATGCTCCGCAAACCGCACGGGCAGCCCCAGGTAACGGATCTCCAAACTCAAAAACGAAGCGAAGCGCAGGCACCAAGTGTCCATATTGTGGAGTTTCGAAAGGCCTCGTTTACAAACAAGAAACACACAATCTGGAGAGATGTAACGGGATCAACCCTTGCAACCTGCTTCTTGCTGATTTAACACGAAGACATCTGTTCACCTTTGCTTTGCTATGATGAGTGTGCCCAAAGATGTCCTCGGCCAAAGAGGAGCCGCGACGGTTCAAGCAGCCACAATGCCCCAAGACCAATCAATCCAACCGACGACTCTGTACATCCTTTGTTTCTCCTATGCACATGCCCTTGGCCTGAACGTACGACCTCTCACTGTTGCAATTCCCTCGACCCGCGCCTCGTCATCTTCGCCACCTCCATAGATGTCCTGCGGCACCCCGCGACAAGAAGCCACAAAAAACCGCCCACTCCCCTGCAAGTTCACATAAAACCCAAAAGGCCACCATGTGCAGAGGAAACTCCTGTTAAGACCCCTTTTTTGGCTCCATGCCTGCAAACTCGCATAGAACCCAAAAAGGGGCTCCCCCCAAAAGGACATTCTACAAAGGATGCCGAGTCTCAGGTTCAATGTTCAATCTGCAGGCGATCTACAAACGGCAGGTTTGGAGGCTCCAGGTTCATGTGCAGGGGGGTGGGATTTGCCCAGTTGCTCCAATGGCAGAATATGACTATTGTGACACAAGTGGCTTCCTTTCAAAGTTGCTTCCTTCCACGTCACCGTCCAATGTGAATTTCGAACGGCCTGACCTCTATCAAGGGAAATGGGGCCAAAAGGCGGGGGGTTGGGGACTTGATGAGACCCTCTGGGCAACTCCGCCCATGTCCTGAAACAGCCCTAGGGAAAAAGAAAATCGCAGGGCCTGAGGGCTGAATTTGTTGCTAGCTCGATGGAGCTTGGTTTTCAATTCCCAGATTCACCCAACGTCAGCCAGCGCTAGTTCGAGACCTTCCAACTCACAACTCTATCTTGAATAGCCAAGGATGTTGCCAGCACATTTGCTACATGCTTCCTCTCTGCCTGGCGCTGCTATTCCAATTTCGCCAAGAAAGAGAACACAGCCCAAAACCGCAAATGGTATTTCTGTATGCATGCTTAATTCCAAACATAAGTAATTGCGACATCTAGTCGTCAACCTTTCCCCAAAGGCGAATCCGCGGGCTTGTTGTAGCCGAGCTCTGCGCTTGTTTGGTTCAGCATTTCCGAGTGCCGATGCACATGTACTCTTCAGATACTGCTACTTGCTTTGATCCAGCACGAAACGCGGAGCATCGATCTGACATTGGCCGTAAACAATAGCAGCTGAGAGGCCAAGTGGTAAACAATGCTCGAGAACCATTGTGCGCACAGTTACATACACACTTGCACACGACACAGCTTAGGCCATGCCCGAGTTGATCGATGCCTTGCCGGATTTGACGGTGTCTCAACAGCGGCTCATTGATCAACGCCGGATTGGCGCCGCAGAGGTCCTGCCACTCGGAGTCTTTGTCAAACTTCGTGGTTTTGGTCAGCTTGGTATTGGCCTGGGCGTCGGCTGCGAGTCACATCCCGAATTTGGTGTTGGAAGCTTGGAACAGGGACTCTGGAGGTATGGCCAGGCCACATGGACCAAACATTTGCTATCAATGACAGGGCATCACGTCCAGTTGGGCTCTTTTGGCAGGGCTACATCGTAATGGTCCCTCTGCATCTGGGGCGCTCTTTTCCGGGGGGGGGGGGGAAACAGTAATGTAAGTCGCCTTCGTCCCTCGCTTTGTGCAGGGACGGAGGCCAACAAAACAACATGCTCCTCCCAACGTGCGTCTAAGAATCGAAGCACTGGATCATGATCGTTCCTCAAACGCCCAAAAAGAGGAGGTCGTTGACCCCGGCTGACGCTTGCACACACACCGCCATAGCAAATGGTTCTGCACGCCAAATCTGGGATTCCCGGCCTTGTTGTCCTTTGACAAGTTCGCCCCCTTCTGAGCCTGTCGATCTCTCATCACATGCAAGAACCCGCCCAAGACAAACAACCAATGCATCAGAACAGATTTGACACTTGTGAAACTGAGCCGTTGTGCATAGATTTGCAGAGATGTCACCATTTAGAATCAACACCTGATGGAGTTGCAACTATCGCCCACTTGCGGTGCATAGGCAAACTGGAACACAACGAGCCCAAGCCCAAAAAGGGGGACGGTCTGTGGTTTCCTTGTGGGGTTTTGCCATGTTTGACAAGCAAAGCCATGAGCCATAGCAGATCAATGCAACATCATCCCTCTGAAGTACACTATCGTGAGGCTGAGGAAAGTCCTACGTATGACTTGTATTGTACTAAGAACGAATTCTGCCGAACGCTGGGGCATCAGTATGAATTCAAGATGGCGCGCAAGTGAATCCTGGCAGAGAACTGGTTTCAAGGAACATGTAAAGAAGCAACTCGACAAACCGATTCAAGAGCGACGCATGCAAGATCTGTGTCCGTGCCGCTTAACCACGAAAACAAATCAAGAAGCTGACCCTTGGCCCTTGGCTGCAAGGAACCCTTTGGTGCATGGGAACTTCCCTTTGATTTTGTTTGAGACCCAAAGTTTGGCTCACCTCGAGCTGATTGAGTTGGGTGTGAGTATCAATCAATCTGGGAGACCCTTTGGTGGACATTTGCGTTGGGAGTCATATTCACTACTTTTGTGGTGGTTCCCCGTTGAAAAACAAAAAAACACAGCCAGTTGAGCCCAAGCTTCTTGTTAACCGGTGCCGCTAAACAACTTAACCATGCTGTGGGACGACTAAACGCGGATTTCACGGTTTGTGTCGAAGAACTTCTGCAAATCGGAGTCCAGGAGCCCGGCATAAGCCATGCTCAGATCAATTGGGCAGATGCTGTCCCCTGAGCCACCTGTGAAGTCACTTGTTCATACCAGAAGCTTGGGGACTGTTCCAGTGGCCATCACCTGCCCAGTGGCCATGGGCAAATGGGACATACCTTACCTCCTCGGATAGTGCTAGGGATCAATTATCCTGTCTGCAGTCGCATTGTGCGTTCCAGACGGCTGAAAACCTGATTGTCAATAGGTGAGCCATGCTCAGAACTCCGATGGACTCCGATGGATTCCTCTGTGTTACGCAGCTCAAGTGGAATCGGCATGTAATGCGCAACATGGACACAGAAGCTCCGAGCCGCATGGATGTTGCAGCCTTCTGACCGAGACCCGTTGTGATGAATCGGTCCATCCCTGAGGTGGGAAGGCTGGAGCCACCAAATCCTTTGCATGGCCTTGCATGGCTCACCCCAAGCCGGGCGCGAATTCGTGGGGCTCCAATCAAAGTCAAGCCAAGCATTCAACCTGTGGGTTCCAGCCGGTTTGTGTGGGTTCGTTCTACGCGTGAATACCAGTTGGACAACTTCGTTTTGGTTCATAAGGCTTATCTATCTTAGAATCCGCCTTTGGCTTCGGTGATCGACCAAAACCCCCACGGGTCGGGTTCGAAGGCCTTCTTGTCCTTCACCACCTGCTCCATGCTCTTCTCCAGCTCAGCCAAACTCGGTGCCCGGGGTTCGGCTGAAGGCCGGCTTGGGGGGCTGGGCTCGGGTCGGTGCAGCGGCAAGGCGACATCCACTTCGGTGCCCCGGCAAAACAGGAACCAACATGGCACAAAGGGGAACTGAAGGCTGTGTCACAGCAACCTCGGGAAGGTTGTTGAATTTGGCTCGCAGGAACCTGCTCGAGCGATGAGCTCGAGGTGAACTTGTAAAAGGGCGATGTCATGATTGCGGAGGGTCAAAACGAGGATCGTGCACCGGACGCCTCGCGCACACAAACAACAACACTATGGCATGGGCCCATAGATACCACAGAACAGGGACTACCACGAATCTGAGGTTCGGATGATTTCAGGAAACGAACCAATGGGACAAGGCCTTGAAGAATGTCAAGCAACGGGTCTCAAAATGGGATGGCTCGAAAACAAAACCATCCCAAGAACGCTGTCTGACAGGGTGTAATTTATCGCGGATCCAAAAACCCCGTCGGCGCAAGCTTTATTCTGGCTGATAAGTTTCAGCAAACAAACTGGGAGCAATTCTCAAATGCGGTGGTGCAAGCTCGAGGTGCACGTGTTGGGCACTGCCAGAATTCATGTAATCCTTGATCACTGCCTTGAGGCCGTGCCCAGATGCAGCTCTTCCAGAGTGGCAGATCAAAGGCGCAGAAGCAAAGCAAACACACAGATGCCGAGTCATGATTCAAGCTACACGGCAACCTCAACAGGGAAGGACCAATGTCCCTACGGGCAATGCCCTCCCAAAAACCTGAAGGACTCATTAGGGTCCCTTCGATGGGATCTCGTTCACGGCCCCACATGGTTGTGGATAACATAAGTCCTGCGATACCAACATGGGCCATCCCTATGACTACCGTGTCACCTTGAAGGAGGTTCCCTTGGTATCAGAAAGTGGCCCTGAAACCCTGCTTTCCCGCAACTATGCAGACCCAAAAGACAACCAGCAGCGTCCAGCGAGCTTGAAGTCTCCCTCTATATTCTTGTCTTCTCTCCCTCTCTCTCTCGATATGACATGCTGTGGCTGGAGATGTGCTGCCCTGCTGCTGAAGGGAGGCAAAGGCAAATCAACCCTGTAGCCTAAGCTAACCCGGCCAAATGCCTTGTTCTTGGCTAGATACATGTCAAAATCTTCCTGCAAGGGACTGACAGCGTGTCTCAAAGGAATGCTATTGGAAGCAGTTGAATGCATGGGGATGTGTCGGAATGGCGCATAGAGAACTGGCTTGCTTCATCTGCATTTTTCAACCTGCTCAAGGTCAGTCGCGGATTCTATAGCTGCCGCTCGGGTCAAACACAATTTGGAGCCTGGCTTCTTTGAGTAAACTCGCCCCCGGTGCCCAACCCAATCTTCAAAAAGGACAATGCACGTATTCGCATTCCGATGTTGGATGGTGTCCGTTCCTACACGGGCCAGCCCAGGCTTGATACAATTAACAGGGGCTGTCCCTTTGAAAAGCGCATCAGTCAACCTTTGGGGGAACCCCCCCCTTCTGGATTGATACATGCAGGGTCCAGTGTTAGCTTTGGCATCCAGGTGTTTCCCCGCTGCAGTCCGAGGCACTCTTTGATGTCGAGAGTGGTCTCCAAGCCCTTGATGAGATTGGACAGGAATCTCAGCGCAAATGTGTCGTTTTGGACCTGCTGGGTGGTCAACGAGATGGCCCCCTTTTTCCCCTGGTGCCGCCTTTGGCTGCCTTTGAAAGGGGACCGAAAAGGGCCCCCAAGCTTCACCACCCCTGAGGGGCAAGAGGACAGCTGGCGGCCTGCTCATTGAAATGGCATTTCTCGGTGGATTAGAACCAGGGTTCAGTGCCTTAAGAACACATACCAACGCCGCGCAGGTGAAATCTGCTGGTTAAACATCCCCAAAAGTCCGAGGCCTTGAGAAAAGCTAGAGCAAAAGCTATTTTAATGTGCCTCCCCCTTGCGCCAGTCCGCGCAGCAAGAAGAGCACGGCACCCCAAGAATGGTCCAAACTTGTGATGGCATTGGATTTTTCGAGTCCAAGTGATGGCAAGCCGTTTTATCAATGGCATTCGAGAAAAAGGTTTGTCATATCTGCCTGTGAGTTCGTCGCCATGTTTATTCTCAAGTCTACAGTAGCCAACACCCCATCAGCAACAATGCTCGCAGTGGGACGACTCGGCTTTGTCAAAAAGAGGACAGCTACCATGCACATTTATGAAGGTATTTCCAATTCAGCCAAAGTCAAAGGCTTTGGGGTTGATATCTGGGTACCCTACGTCTGGCGGGAGCTTCTGCATTCTCAACACTTTCGGCAAGCAACTGCTTGTTTTTGCACTCGAATGTCAATTCGAATCATGGGCTCAGGTGTAGATCCAACCGCCTGATGTTCAAAACCGGGGGTTCTGAAGTGCCTATCCCCTTCTTGGTTGCTGTTCAAGGAAGGAAACAACCACCAGGCATAGACTCCTTGACCCGTTTTTCCAAAGAACACTCGATGAAAACAAACACGTCCACACCTGGGTCTTGTTTCATGCCCTCGACTCCGGCCTGCACGGCCCGCCCTTCGCCAAGGTGGCAGTCTCCTCAGAAGGGGACACCCTCGGGAGATGCAACAGACCTCTCACCTTGGCCCATGCACTTGTTTAGTCCGTATAGAACCTGCTGATTCAAATCCCAGGGTTTGAACAGCTCAACAGATTGACTTTGGTCAGCCACCACTAAAGACAACAGAAAACAATCCAACAGCTTGACAAGACAGGGAAAGGTCCGTGGCCCCAACGTTTTGCAAGAAGATAACATCGCAATTCCATGTGTAGGGCCGCAATTCCTAGACGAGACATGGAACACTTGCTGTAGGCTTTGCAATCACACCAATCCTATTGCTTATCCAATACGTGCCGCCTTGGTACGATAAGCTATCATACTATGTCAAGTGGTTGCTTGATTTTAGTCGCGGCAAGTTCCATCATGGCACGCCCCGTCTCCCAACTCCATACCAGTTCAGCTGACTGCCCGGAACTCACACATCAAGACGCCCAGGAACAACATATTCATCTGGACACTGAGCACTTGAGCTCTAGCAGTAGCTAAACGGCCTCGGGCCCCCGGCGAATTTGTCCATGCACTTGGAGAGCAGCGTCTCAACCTCGGCCGTCGGCCGTGTGGTTGGGTTGGCCTCCCGTTCCCAAGCATTCGCAGCCCAAGCGCAAAGGAAGCACCGAAGCCAAGCTTGGAGCCCACATGAAAGGGGTGATTCCTATTGTAAAGTAAAGGCCCCCTTTGGGCCTGGCCACCTTTTCTGCCGTTCAGGACAAAAGATGAGGCTGGAGCCATTGGCAACAAGTTTCCCGTTGGCTTCCCTTTCAATTGGGCCCCATCAACAGCAGATACACACACACAGGACACTACCCATGTCACACTGTGAAGGATCCAACCACCGCTCACTCCAAAGATTGAGTGCCTGGCGTCAGCACTAAGATTCAGCTCCAAGTTGTCGAATTCATCCACAGTCACGACCTAAGCCCAATCCCGGGTAGAACACATCTGGGTCGACCGCCTAAAAGACATGGACCACGAGAAAGTTCTTTGCCTTCTGTTTTTTGGCGTGGTCTCGAATTTCTAGTTCCGCTTCCATGTGCCCCCACCCTTCTTGAGGTCGAGCATAGAATCCCAAGTGTTGTGCGCTGTATTTCCTGACCCTACTTCTCCAAATTGCTGACAAAGAGGTCTGACGTTGGTCACATGCATCTTTGGTAAAACAATATCCTGTCATCACCTGAGGGATGGAGGACAACTGCAGCAGCACCGACTGGTGGCACTCTGTCTGTCAAGCTGCGCTCAATCAAAGAAGTTGCCTCAGTCAGTAGTACGGTGGACGCGCTACCCACGGGATGGCAAGGTAATTGCTCCCACTGGGGAGCCCTGTCAAGCTGGCACATGACACCAGAGTCCCAAACATGTCGGAACCGGGAACAGTGATTGAAGGCTGCGTTTGGGGTCCCAGTTCCCGGTTTCCTCATCCGTGCAACAAAAAACATGGCTTCAAACCGTTTCCCTCTTTTTCAGGAGTCCTCGCAGGGTTTCCTCAAAAGACAAAAAGGCCTGCGTGAATAAGCCTAATTTGGGAGTGGGTTGACTACCTGCTCCGATTCTGTGGAAACAAAAGGCCTCTTTAAGCGCAACAAGGTCTTACCCCCGAGTCAGCTTGTGTTGGGCAAATCGTTAGTAGCAGCGTATATGCGGTACGTCTCAAAACTTGTCAAAATTTCGGGGACCTTCCAAAATGGTTTGGTTTGCTTTACTGCCGGTCCTTTTAATGCCAACCAAAAGCGGGCTCGCCGAAAACAAACACACCTGCAGTCTGTACCGTCAGTCGCCCAGTGACCCGGTAGGAAAAGAACTAGGACCCTTTTCGGGGGTGGACACCCCCTTTTTCATCGGGCTTGAACCCACCAAACTTTTAACAACTCACCTTCAATGTCTTTAAGAGCCCCTGCATCCTTCTCAGGATGCCATCGGAATGGACCCCTTGACGTAAACCAGGGATTTACCAAAAACAACACAAAGGGCACCACTGGTCTGAGATCCCAGGAAGACTGGCATATCAGACCACGGATAGATGTGGGTCTAGAATAGTGGGTCTACCCTAGACCATAACATATCGTTGAAGGCAGGGTTCTTGTTTTCTTTTTGTTTAATGACCCACTTCTTGTAGGCTTCAGCCAGCAGGAATCCTTACATTATACACCTGAACATTGCCATTTACAACCCTTTATTTTGGTGGAAAAAACATTTTTCAAATGGGCACAATGTATCTTTTAAGGAGCCCTGGCCAGGGACTTCCCTTTTGGGGAAATTCCACTGGTGCCCCCGAAATACTACGTGCGCCTGCGGCTTGGCTTTGGCCTTCCTCTCCGCCTCTGCCTTCTCCGCCTGAGGCGAAATCGGGGGGCGGGACGTGGGAAAATGAGACCCGCCCATTCCCTCGTGGCTTCCTTTATGGGACATCAAGAATTGAGATATATTTAGCAGCCAGATTGGTTTGGGCAAGTTCTGAAACCCTCTTGCATATTTGGGGGTTGTCGTCATAGCCTCTGAATGAATCATAGCAGCAATGATGCACCCGGCAGCCTTGACCACCGTTTTAATCACAGGTTCATTTTCAAGGAGCTGCAAGAAAATGGCAACCTAAACCTGAATCCTCAACACAAAAACATAATAATCAGAGGTCTTCGATCGTAAACCAATTGTGTTTGGGACACTACGGGCATATCGTTCGCCTGCAAGTGGTCTTCCGTCTTCCAGCAGAGTGCAACCTCAAAACAAAGGCCTTTTCCTATCCTGCTGGTCCAAGCACAACAGGATAAGCATGGACGCCTACCGGCATGGACAAACAACATGAAAGCATGCTTGTGGCAAATAATCCTTTCTGTGCAAAAGTTAGGGGGGCCAGCGCTATGACGGCTTTGCGGCTTTCAAAGGGAGTTTACACAACAAGGCCCTAGCCCCCTTCCAATTGTTGGAAACAGGGTACGTAAGGTCAATCTCGGAGGGGGGGGTTGCTTGGCTCCTCTCGAAAATGGAACACCCCCATAAATCAACTCGGGGGCTCACCACTCCATTACATTTGTCCATTTCCCGACGAACCCAACTACTTGAAGCAATTCCAGGGAAGGCACCCATTTGGTTTCTTCCATCCACTTCCATCTAGTGGTCAGGGGGGTTCTCCAATCCTGGGTTCCACTAGTTTTGACACATGCAACACACGGGATGTGGAGTTTTGTTGGTTGTTTGCACCATACTTCATTTCACTTTGGGGGTAATAGAAGGTACGAGGGGAACTACCAAGTTTGATTCTTCCATTTTCCTTTTTCTGGGTCACCCTAACATGGAGCTGGCACATAGGTTCCTTTCGGATGCTACACAAATGACTGTCCTCTGGTGCAAGCTGGAACCCGTTTGTTCGACGCCTTTGGGGTCTCCTTTAGGGTCTCCATCATTTGGGTGTTTCTTAACATTAGGGGACACTTTCGGTTTCCATCTAAACACCAACCAAATACCAACCTTAAAACGCGCTGCGAAAATCCACGAGAAACATATCAGATCCATTTCTCATGTCAGAGACAAGTGCTTCCACCCAGCAAAGGCGTTCAATCGACTGGTAGCCCCTCTTCACGGGTCCCTCTTTAAATGCAAAATGTTGGATCCCCCGGGCTCCAACACAGGGCCCTTTCCCTTCCAAGCGTTCTGCAAACTTGGATCGATCCGAGCTCCGATTCCCACCCTTTCCCTTCCAAGTTCCATTGCCTTTTCCCTCTTCTCCTTCTCCAGCAGCGTCTCCGGCTTCTCGAAGCCCGCGAAGAGGTCGGAGGCCAGCCTGAGCTTCTCTCACGGGGACCTGACGAAAAAAGTTGGGAACATGGACTCAAACGGACCAACAGGTTGGGGTTCATGGACTGGCGAACTTAACAAAAAAGGAAAACCTAAAGGTCAACAGTTTTGGCTCTGGGCAAGTGAGTTGAACATTACCCCAGCAAGGCTACCATCAACAAAAACACGTCCATATGAGCCACAGTCAAAACATGTCCTACACGAGACGCTTTGGATGAGTCCCTTTTTTGGAGGAACTTTGCGAAATTGCCCATAGACTCGAACAACATGAGAGGCTTGGGGAAGCCCTTGAATTTGCAGGAGCTGGGATTGGAATCCCCTGATTCATCTTTTGCTGAAGTGGTCAACTCCTGCCAACAATGCCAAACTGTGACACGCACAACTCAAAGTGCGGAGCCATTGCAATCTTGGAAGCTCAAATATCCACTTTGAAAGGTGGTTTCCTGAGCGTCCACGTCCAAGAGAAACTTAACAGTGGCTGTTTCGCTTCCCATGCTTCCCTTTGAACTACCAAATGTGGTCTGAGTGAAGCTCCGGATGATTGCCATCCATTCAAACAAGTCTTGCAGACCATCACCACCCTTTTGTGGCTGAGGTCTTCTGGCAAGCTTTTGCAGCTCGGTCTCAAGAGATACGCACCTACCAATGCCAGAGGTGGGATCTGGACTCTTTTGATCAGAAGGTCAATCCCGTCCGTAGCAGTTCGCAGCCTTGACGTGCTGCGCCCTCTTGAAAGAGCCTTTCGGCTTGCCCAAGCTGTATATCGCTGTCCACACTTGGCCGTCAGCGAAACCACTGACACTTTAAGTGTTTGCACCCGAGCTTCATACTTAGGCCACTCAATTTGCAAGAAGTCGCAGTTGGGCTAACTTGAAGTCGTTTGCTACTTGCCTGGCAAACAAGTTGAACACGGTCTTGTCATGTGGGGTGAGGCGAGGCCCCTAGTGACACCATGAGGGGCAACTGGACGCGTCTAGGCCATACAACCCCCACTTTTCTTGGCGTAGGAACCCTGTGCGTGGGGGAGGGGGGGGCCTGTGTTTGGCCCAAAGGGAGCAATAGAACACTTGGCAAGAAACACACAAACACATTATTGCATGTCTTTGTTACTTTCCTACTTATTGTTTCTTGCCTGGTTGCCTAAACTCTGTTCTGAGAACTGCCAGCAACGTACAAGACCCCTCTCCATGGTATAATCGCCCATCACCTTTCTTTCTGGCTCGTTCCGCAATGGCAAGTACTGCAAGACAATCATAGATTGCGCAACTTGCCGGGGGCTTGCCTCTGCCCTACTTGCAATGTTTTGGCCAGGTGCACGGTAGCACGGGGTGAAAAGGGGCCACTGACCATTGAGCAAGGGGGACTCACTCACCCAAACAGGGACATATAATAACACGGCAAGTCCAGTGTACAGTGGGTAACCAGGTATTTGTAGTACCTCTACTAGCTGCTCCAGTAGTAGGGGAACCCTCCCTCAAAAGAGTTGGTAAAAGGGCACTATTGGGGGACCTAGTCTAGGTTTGGGATTCAACGGAGAAACTCTAAGGTACTTGCGCCCCGCCCGAGGGATCTGAGCTCTGCACTTGGCGTCTCTCGCCTCCTCCAGCCGCTTTAGTCGCTCCTTCTCGGCTTTGGGGTCCTTCCTGCCGTTGGGTGCTCTGGAGGATACCCCGAACGGCGCTCTGTGCCTGTTCCCTGGAGGAAACCCCGAACAACTCACATGGGTTGTGTTTTTAAGGCTCTCCCCTGTAGGTGGTTAAGAGGGAATTCACTTCACTTGTTGGGGGGGTCTCCCTGTTTCGACACAGGCCCAGATGGAACCCAAAGGACCATCATTTTAGAGGAGGCTGCTCTTGCGGCAGGGGACAAGGGAGCTTGGGTGGGGATCCCCAATAAACCAGAACTCGGGGGCGCTCTAACAAACCTCAGATTGGTTGGGTGCCCAGGGTTGCCACTGGCACCAGCCTAAGAGCAAGATGACAGCACCAGAGTCGGTTCTACAACGTTTCTTTGCAGTTGCCCTTTTCAGCGGGGACCACCCGCAGTACGAAATGACGTGCAGCCCAGCAGGGCTCAACAATTCAAACTAGTACAATTCCGACGCCCTTCTCTTTCTGGGCTTCAAAAGCCGCACCGCACAATCGCGATCCAACACATTATGAACACTTTCCTCACAGTTGCCATACACAAATAGAACCTGAGAAGAAAAAAGAGAAAACACATGTGTGCTTGCCAAGCGCAATGTCCAGCTTCATTCAGAACAACCACAAGCAACTAGTAACCACCTCGCCCTGCTTGAGTTTGGGCACTGCTATATCATATGTTTATATATGTTTACCAATGTCTATGCTTATGTATGTATAGAGAAACAAACAAATATGCCTGCATGTATACACATGTATACCCATATTATCCTAGTTCTCATCCAGCAGCATGCAGCTCTCCGGGCCCAGTGGCACTTCGTAAGCGGAGCTCTGACTGGCTCATTGCAACGCGGAATCACCACCCGCGCCATTTGATTAATCCATAGAGTTTATTGATCTAATCTATTGAAACCAAACAAAAATAAAGGACCAATGGTCTCCGTACCCCTGGCCCTCACTGCCACCAATAAGCCGTCCTTCCAAATCATACATATGACCCCCCCCCTCCTAAACAACAAGAACAACAACATGATAAATACTCATCCGGGGGAAAGTACACCAACTTGTGTGTGTGTGTGTGTGCTTTTGAGAGGCATACATCGGGGAAGAGGCATCTCCTATTGCCCCCAGCAAAAACAACTCCTATTGGACTTCTGACTCGGAACCGAAGGGTGGTTGTCAAAATGAACAACCCTTTTCTGGGCCCCCCTTTCAAGAAGGTTCTTTCTTCAGGCCGCTGGTGCTCAGTACTTGGATGTGCAGCCGAGGATGCCACTGCCGTATTCGGCGCCGCGGCGGAGCGCTACGCGCGGCTCGTCGGGTGTGTTTTTTTAGTGCCGATGGGGGGGCCCGGGGTTCAAGCCGTTCTCCTATGGACTTTCGGCGGTTGCCATTTTCGTGAAAGCCGGTCTATGGACTGTGGGGGATTTGCTCTTTGCTTGGTTGCCATTTTAGTGGCTGAGACGAACAGTTTAAGGACTTTCTCTGAATTTGAGGGGTTCTCAAAATACGTTTTTTTGCCAGGAAAAACCGACACGCCCAAACGCAGTGGACCCAAATGAGGGGTTCTCAAAATACGTGTTTTTTTGCCTGGAAAAACCGACACGCCCAAAAGCAGTGGACACAAAGCTTTCCACTGCTTGGTGGCTTGATCGACCAATCTTAAGCAATAGCTGGTGTATGAACCCCTGTGAATCAATCAGCCCGCTTAGTCGTCAAACTCATCGCTTGCTGTGCCGGAAACCCAGCCTCGCTTTGGGGTTCTACATGGCCATGGGTTGGTGTAAAATAGGGTGGTATACAATTGCCGATCCGGTGAACCCGGCAGCAGCGCTTCGGGTGATAGTGGCAAGCAAGCGCACGGGGCCCAACAACCTATACAGGATCCACCGACGACATGGGCACGGCAGTGGGGTGCGGCTGGCGCCCGGCGGCCTTGAAAATTCAGGATCTCTCCATGTCGGACTATGTCGCGGAGCCAGAGACCTACGGCAAGTGTGAACGTTGCTTCAAAGGGCATGGATTCCCGGAGGGCTAGCCGGCGGAGGTTCCTACCCTGCAGGAAGACTCAGATTTGGACTCAGACTCCGTGCAGACCCAGTCGGAGACGGAGATCGTGACACTCCCTGGTGAAGCCTAGGTGCCTCCGGCCCTGGCGGCCGGGGAACAGGGCTGAATCGTACATACAGTCAGCCCTCAGCACAGACTGGCATCCTTCGGAAATGGCGGGTGTGCCAGACTGTCCTTCGAAAATGGCGCAATCAGTCTGCACCGGTTATTTTCCTGTCCAGGATTTTTGAAGTGGGTGGCACGGAGGACCACCCAACCTGGAACTCATGAAAGGGAAGATGAGTCCCTGGCACCAACACAATGCTTGGATAAAAGAGTTATCGCCTGCTTGTGTTGCGCCGTTTGGTCAGCTTGCATACACTTGTTTAATGTTGGAACATGTGGGAAACATGTACTGTGTAGGCAATGCTTGGCCAACATGGCGTATATGCCATTTCTTGGGTTTGTTGAACCCTCAGTAGTTTAAAACCCACCCACCCACACCAAGGTAAGGTTCATGGTGGCTGGGCCAGCCAAACCTCCTGAGAAGTCTATCCGATCCGGTCATGTACCAACGCCCCCTCAGGGACGGGGTGGCAAGCCTTTTTTGGTCCAACTTCGTGTTTGTGGATGACTTCCTACGGCTGCTACGCATCAAAGGGGCCGTAAACTTGGCGGCGGCAGTGCTGGCTACGCTGTTGGCACTTGGCACACCGCTAAGTTGGAAGAAGACGCACCGGCCGTGGTTGGGCTTTGTGGTCCATCCCAACCTCCCACAGGTTCTCATGGCAGCCAACAAACACATCCTGGTGATGGAGGTCCTGCAGATCATGGTTGAAGGCCAGGCGATGCACGCAAAGGAGATCGAGGGTTGAATTTAGTGGGCGACTTCGGCCTGTCCTCTGGCTAAGTCTATGCTCCAACCGCTCTGGGCGTGGAAGATGGCTACCACCACGGTGGGGAAGCCACCCAAGGTGGTGAGGATGCTGGCCTTCATGCTGCGCCTCCTCTTCAACACGCCCCAGTGACACCAGGAAGAGTACCCTGGGCATTCAAGGATGGGGATCCCAAGCGGCGAATTGCGGCACTGGAGATGCTAGGCACGCTCTTCCTCTGCAACATGATCCTCACGCATCAGGGCCCCTTGGCCTCCAGGGTGAGACTCCCGGTAGGCAGTGACAACCAGGGCAACGTGATGGCAATGCTCAACCTTGGATCCAAGAAGCCCTACACCGCGGCTATCCTGATGGAGCTGGTACTCCTGCTACACAGGCACGGATGCTCTCTGGCAGTCAATCATGTGCCTCGTGAATTCAATATGTGGGCGGACGAACTACCCCACCCTGATTTTGCAGGATTTGATCAGTCGCACAGAGTTCCAAAACAGAGTTCCGAAACCGGAACTGTGTGAAGATTTTACTACGTTTGGCCTTAGCGCGGACCCACCCAAGCTCCCGTGACCGGAGCCGGTGGGTGACTCACTTCCCTTAGGTGGCAGACTCCCTGAAGCCTGGGTGCCTCCGGCCCCGGCCGAAGGGGGGCGCAATCAGTCTGCACACCGGTTATTTTCCTGTCCAGGATTTTTGAAGTGGGTGGCACGGAGGACCACCCAACCTGGAACTCATGAAAGGGAAGATGAGTCCCTGGCACCAACACAATGCTTGGATAAAAGAGTTATCGCCTGCTTGTGTTGTGCCGTTTGGTCAGCTTGCATACACTGAAGGACATGTTTTTGAGGATTCTTCTTACTGACCACCGATCTTGGCCGAACAGGGAATGTTCCAAGGAAGCTGATCTACTTTTGATCCTTTGGGTTCTAAGCGAGGCCGGGACCAGGAAAACACACAAACAAACATTTGTTTGGCTCCACTTCAACCACTTTGAAAAGGGTACCTCGCAGGAAAAATCCCCATGTTTGGGTTCCCTGAATGACGATCCAAAAAAAGTCGCTTGGTTTTGTTTCCCTGAAAACCAAGCAAAAGGGCAAGCAAAAGACGCCCCCGATTTGGGCATCCAAAGTAAGGATCCAAAAAAGAGTAATGTCATATTCAGTTCTCCTCCCCCCCCAAAAGACAAAACACACACACACACACGAAATCAGCGCCATGTCCCCCGAAAGTGCAAACTTCGGCCGGAAAAAACAAATGAGCCACAATCAAAACCCGGTATTAAAATGGTCGTAATCCCAAAACCATGTAAGAATTGAGAAGGCGGAGATCCGTGGCTGACCTTCGACCCGAATCGGTACGACGTGGCTAGGCCCGGCACGTCCACGCTCTGGAAGGTGACCTCCACGGAGACCACGCCGAAGACAATCCGCACCGTGAGCTCCTCTCGCGCTTGCCGCGCTTGCCAGTTGTGTTTCCTTTTCTTCCGGTTTCTTTTCTTTTGTCTTTGCTCGTGCTCTTTTGTGTTCTTTTGTGTTTTGTTTTCCCGGGCGAGTTTTTTCCGGCGGCTTTTCGGTTCTTTTCAACACCAACAGCCACGAGCGAGCCGAGGCTTCACTGCCTGGGGCGGCTCCAGGGGACGTCCCTGCCGCCGCCTTGCTCGCCTCTTTGTGGTCAGCCGGCCCTTCATCCTGGATCTCCACCGTCAGGGCCAGTCCGGGTGATTCAGATCCTCCCTTCGTTCCCTGCCTGCCTCCAGGTTCAAGTTGGGGACCCGCAGCCCCACCTTGTTCCAGATGTCCACCACCACGTTACGCTTCTCCCGGACATAGACGTCCGCTGTGCTTTCAGAGAGCCAGTTCCCCAAGTACTGACGATGGTCCCGAGGAAACACCCGGCTGGAATGCACAGTCGGGGATGAACACACGAAACGAGTGCCACGAGATCGGGTCAACCATTTCTTGCGGGACGCGCCGTAGCGCGTCCTTGAGCCACCTCAAGGCCCGTTCCGCGACGCGGGTTCAGTTCCACGGTGTCGCTCGTGTGGACCAGATCTTTTGGGTGGACGTGCTGAAGGTCGTTGAAGCCCCACCTGGAATCTGGCGAACCCCAGGATGAAGGCGTCCAGCAGCTCGTGCCTACTTTTCCTCGGGGCTGTCTGAGTACCGGGGCGGAGGCACGAAGGTACTCATTGCCAGCCCCTTCCTCCAGGGCCCAGATGACCTCCTTGCTGGGACCACCGCCTTCCGTTGGGGACGAGTGACCGTGTCCGTGAGGGACTCCTCCAGTGCACTCCTCTTCGCTTTGAGGCGGTGGAGTTCATCCACGTTCAGCATGCCAATAGTCTTGGAGTACCACTTGAGGGTGTTCCAGACCTGCCTCAGTTTGTAAGGAGTGACCTCCTCGTCCGCCAGCTGGTTGAGGAGAGAGCGTACATGCCGCTCCTGCCATGGAGTCACCGTGAAACCGGAACCTAGTGTCCCCCAGCAGGGCCTCCTTCCGCAAACGGGACCAAGTCGCTGGAGCTCCAGGGCCCGCTGCGTCGTGGGCTCAATTTCCCTGACTCTGCTGGGTCGCCAGTGACGCCACTTGAGGAATTCTGGTTGCTGAAGTGGGGGCGGGTCATTTCTCAAGTACCGTCGCACTTGGTCCTGATGGTCCCAGAATGCTTCCAGTGCGGTATATTCCCCACTGGGCTTGCCCTCTGACGCCGCGTGGAGCAGGTTCCACATGTTATCCCACAGGTCCGCCAAGTCATCTGCCGACAGCGGTTGAGGAAGGCGCCCTGCCGCCGCTGTGGCCAGGCTGTTGAAGTATAATATCCGAGAGAAGATAACGGCTGGCTCCCCTCCGAACCTGCGTGCCTCCTCTGGGGTACCATGACGCAGGCACATCAGGACCATCAGTTCCCCATCCGTCTGCCTCGGGGAGAAGGATTCGTCAGACAGCGTGTCCCATAAAACGCGCGGGATCCGGTCCCATAGCCGCGTAAACGGTGGCCTCATACGAAACTGGGTTGAGACCCTGGCAATGACATCAGAACCTTGGGCCATCCTTGAGCCAAGCAATCTCCTTGCCCTAATGTTACAGCGTATCATGTGCAGCTCAAAGTGCAGTGGCAGGCAGAGTGCAGTTGCTTGCAGCGCGCAGTATCTGCAGGCATGACAGGTTCAGATCCAAAATGTTTGGGTCAGTAGAAGCAGAGCGGGAAAGAAAAGGGATCGCAAATCGCCCGGAAACGCAGCGCCTCCTTGCTGTCGTGGATGGGTGCCACTGGCAACTCCATCACCGGGGTGGGGCAATTTGCGATGAAATTCTTCGCGGCCAGGAAGGTGCCCATCTCCTTGAGGACGTAGGTCCACTCCGTCTTGTTCCTGGGCTTGGGGATGCCCAGGCTCTCGAAGAAGGGCGCCGCCTCTTGCGCATCTGCAGGATATTGCCGAGCCACTTGTCCGACGTGGGCCCTCGGCGTTGCGCCCCCTGCGCTGCGGCTTCACCACCAACGGGAAAGTGGCCCACGCCGAGTAGATGTACCTGAATGTGAATCGGTGAGCGTAGACCCCCGTGAGGGTCGGAAGATCCCACGTCCGAGTCTGCCTGGTCCAGAAGACCCCATCGTACTCAGCCCAGACCCGCCCCACCTGCTCCGGGGAGGGCCGCTCCCCACGATCCACCTGGGCCGTGATCTCCAGGGATGTGTAGATGACGGGGTCAATGTCCTCCGTGTTGCGCGTGCACGGGTGGGTCCGCTTCTCAATGGCCAAGAGCTCTTCCGGCGACAGGCTGAAGAGCTGGCCCGCGTTCTTAGGGATCTGTCCACACCCCCCCAAACCGGAGTTCGCCTTGGTGCCGCTTGATAGTCCAAGAGGATGAGGGCCAGCTTGCCCCCCTCCGATTCCAGGTCTGGCTGGGGCGCCGGCTGGTCCCCACCAGGGCCGGAGGCATTTTTGGAGGCCTCCCGCCTCCTTCCACGGATTCTTCACTCTCGAACTGCAGAGACCCTTCTCCAGGGCGCGCTGGAGCTCCGCGGGCCAGACCGACACCTCCTGGATGCGCTGGTTTCCGCCTGGACCTCCGTGACCAAGCCCTGGCCTCCGTGAGTGCTTTGCCCGCGTCCGCACCTCCAGGTACTCCTCCCTGAGCTTTTCCCGGAACCGCTCCAAGTTAACCTTCCGGAGGGCGGAGGACCCCGTGTTTGCCACCTCGTCCGCCGGCACGGACTGCATGCCCTCCTGGATCGGGGCCAGGACCGCCATCTCATTGTCCAGGAGCTCGTCCGTGATGATCTCCTTGTGCAACTTCCTTGCCGCCACCTCTTCCGGCTCCCGTTTTCTGGCCAGGACCTTCTTCTTGATCGCCACATCGATCTGGGGGTGGTATATGAAGCTCTGGGCCTCCGCCTCCTGGAGGGACCGCTGCACTTTCACCCGCACCCGGTGGTCCGCCTGGATCTTGGTCCACCCGCTTGTCCAAGGGCGGGGCCGGAGGCACCCTGGCTTCCCCCGTCCTGCTGCTGGAGCCAGACCGGCTTGCCGTCCAAGATCCGCAAGTGGTAGGTGATGCCCTCGGACTCGTAGGTGGCCGAAGGCGCCTGGTATGGAACGGACTCCAAGCCCGGGCAAACCCAACACTGCTTGGCCGCCTCCGGCCACCCAGTGCCGCACGACTTGCACATGCGGTCGTAGTCTGCCTGCCCGGCATCCAGCCTGTGCATCCGCTAACCGCCAATCCCCACCTTGTTTTGCTGGAACTGCGAGCGCCACACCTCCTCCTGCCGGAGCTGGATCTTCATCGGGACATAGGCCTCCAAGATGCGGAGAACCAAGTCCTCCGTGAGGCCCTTGCCGACAAACTTGTGGAAGAGGGCCCCCATTTCCAGCACCGTTGTGTCCCGCAGCAAAGCCGCGGCTGAAGCCGGCAGCAGCGGGAAGGCGTCCGGGAGGTCCACCACCTTGAAGTAACCAGCCTTGCTCACCACCGGTTCGAGGGTGACTAGCTTGTTCTCCACCGCGTGACTGGGTTTCGAGGCCGCCACAAATCCTTTCATCTTCTTGGCCTGCGGGGCTTCGTCACTGGGTACCGCATCGCCCATATCCACGTCACCCTCGTCCGCGGGGCCGGAGGCACCCTTTCGGGGCGGTCGAGCATAAACTGCAGGTGCTCCAGGGCCTTGGAGAGGCTATCCACCACGTCCGCTGCCGTGCCCTCCGGGGGGGTGGAAGGTTCCGCCAACACCAAGCCTGCGGCCACTGCTGCCTCCCGGTCGCGCATTTCCTGCGCCTCCTGGGTGGCCATCGCCACATCCGCCTCCGTGACCTGCTGCTCCTCCACCAACTCGAACGAAGACACGGTAGACACCGAAGAGGCCATTGCAATGGGTGTTTTTAAACTACTGAGGGTTCAACAAACCAAAGGCAATGCTTGAGCCAAAATGGCATATACGCCATGTTGGCCAAGCATTGCCTACACAGTACATGTTTCCACATGTTCCAACATTAAACAAGTTTCAAAAGGGCCGCGCAATCCCAACTTGTCCGACCGCCCAACTAAGAAAAGGCATGCCGGCGGCACAGCGGGATCTGGTCCGGATCCACCTCCGGCTTCTTCTCCTCCTGAAGCTCTATTCGCGGATCATGGGAGCCCATCACTGGCATGGAACAATTCGGAGACATGACCGCGCAAACCTTTTACTTGGATGGTCAACGCATCGTGAGTAGATTGTCACCACGACTATTGCTGGGAGAAAAAGCAAAACCCTTTGCCGTGAACCATATGCTGGCAGTTGTCATGCACTACTGCACCACCCTTTCAAGCTATTGGTCAGCGAGAACCGAAACAAACTCCAGAAAACAAATCAGATCTTTGACAACTCCAGCCCCCGTGCAGCTGCTTCCTGAAACATCTCATCGGACGCCTGAAAATAGAGGGAGGGAGGGGGGGAGGGAGGGAGGGAGGGAGGGAGGGAGGGAGGGAGGTAGGGAGGGAGGGAGGGGAGGGAGGGAGGGGAGGGAGGGAGGGGAGGGGAGGGAGGGAGGGAGGGAGGGAGGGAGGGGAGGGAGTCTTGGTTCGAACTGAAAGGGGGTGACCAAATGTAGTTGACCCCCCCCGTTCGAGGACGCTTAGAGTCCGCGTTTCTTTTAGATCCGTTGGACACATCAACGCTGAAATCACTGGGCTGCCCTCCAAATGGATCACATGGATTGAGTTGCCAATTTTGTGAATGGCCTCACACCCATGGACCATTTCCCTGAGTACCAAGAGGCAAAAACAGAAAAAAACACCTGCAGCTACAATGTGAATTCCCAAAATACGGGAGCGCAAAAAGCTTTCAGCTTCGCATGTGTTTATATTTTGAGACTAGAAGCATGATCGATTGTTGAAGCCCGGCATCGCGGCCGACCCTTGTATGCTCCTAAAGGAAACCACAAAAAAACAAAACGTCACCTGCAGGTCTCTACAATAGAAGGTCCCTGAACGGGGATTCCTAGAAGCATGTTGCCCGCTGTACTAGCACTCGAATTCCGCCAATCAGCGGCTGACACCCGCCGGGAGTGACTGAGCCCAATGTAATCCTGGCACCACATGTTGAGCTCAGATCCCCGCGTCAACAGGCTTCATGGCCAACAGGAGTCACCTACCACCTCCGGATCCTTGGGGTGTTTGCTTGAAGATGCCTTCCCTTCAAGCCGGGAGGTGGCGCCTTCTTCTCGGAAGGCCCCCTCTCTTTCTTCTTGGGAGCTGCCTGGCAAGCACGTGTCGCCACGGGCCAGGAGACTTAGACCACATGCCAGGAAACGGGCGTGTCTGCTTCGAGAAGTGGTTGACCATGACCAAACATGTCTTCCCGGTTGTCCCAAGGAACTCAGTAGTTTGACCATGGATCCGTGCAAGCTACCGGGCAAATTTCGACTGCCTTTGGCTTCACCTCCTTCTCCTCCTCACTTTCCGTGTCTTCCCCTCACGAGCTGCTGGGCAGCCGATCGCTAACCAAACATCTCCGAGGTTCCTCCTACGCTTAGGGCCTGCTGTGAAGGGACACTGCACCAGTTAGGTTTCATCCACTGGTGCAGGATTGTCCATCCGCTGTATGTGTCTTGGCTGCAAAGGCCTTGGCAAAGGAAACTCAATCTGTGCCAAAGAAGGAAGTCTTTTTCTCCGATTGTGTCGGTTGTGACGCAGTTGGACGCCGCAACAAGCTCAACACAACTTTGATGCAAGATGCCGCAAACATTGGCATGGCTCCAGTTTCATTCAATTGTGAACAACAACACTGGAACGCAAACTCACTCAACATATTGAAACTTATTTGTGGGCAACACCTATGTGGCCAGTACCTAATTCGTACTGTAGAAAAGCAGTGGCAACTCTTCTCCTAGACTGCCCAGGGTTCACGAATAGTACGACTTACCCCGTGGTCCCGGCAGGTTTGCATGATGGCGGTTGGGGTGTTGGGAGAGCAAACTTCGGCTGATTCCCTGAAAACGTTGGTTGGGCGTGCAAACTTTTGCACGCCTTTCTGGGCTCACACCCAGGTTCGCCTGACACTCGGTTGAAAATCCCTTGAAAGGCCCAAACAGGAGACCCTGTCTTGACAACCTGACCCCCATCGACTTCGAGATCAATACTAGCACAGTGGGTGAGGTGAACAAATATGAACGAATAAACATACAAAATGATTCGTTGCTAAAGTCGCCCCAAAGCATGGGATCCTTTGAGAAGAAACCTGGACATGTCGCTGTGAGGGGCTCCATGAAAACGCACAATCCATCTTTGAGATTGCGGGGAAGGGCTTGAGAAACATCTCCGCACAACAGGCGCAAGTTTCCGAACCCACAAATCTGGTTGACTTTTGAGCAAGTTCACAAGCATCGCAATGAACAACTGCACTCTTGCAATGTGACCTGGAACCCTTCGAAAACAATCCTTTGCAGAGGCACGTTAAATGGGGTTTCGGGATCTCATGTCAGTTTCCATATCAATTTCAGAGGAGTCGGAACTAGTTCCCAGCGGCCTGACGGCGCCATCGGCCAATTCATTAAACAAATCGGCCTCTTGCTCGCCTCTCCTGTCTCTCCTTCTCTTTCCGCTGCTCCTGAAACAAACGAGAGACAAACGTATGCTAAAACGAAGCCAGACTCATTCGCTTAAGGCGATAATTGCCCCTGCACATGTCAAAATTAAGAGCCAACTTCACACGCAACCGTTTGGTTGATGCAACTCGAAACAAACACACTTTGGACAAACGAAAACATGCTCTGCTCTGGCTGGTGAGGTTGCTCGTCTGGCTGGTGAGGTATTCCACTCCGATCTCACACATGGGAATGCTTCGAAGCAACGAAGGATTCCCTCAACATTGCAAGTTGCCCAGCCACCCACCATGACCAATTTCATGGTTTCCCATCCCCATGTGCGCAGATTTCACCTTCAATGGCAGGCAACCACTGCCAAACAACAGTCCGTGATGCCGCAGTCACCCTAGAATTGGCCTCTTGATGACTGAAAGGGTCCGTTTGACACCTCGCCATGGGCGAAACAGCGCACCTCGAGCTTCTTCTCAACGTCCACATCATCTGCATCCCACTCGTCCCACCTCGAGTGAATTGGTCCGACCGAAAGCCGCACCAAAACCGGCTCGGAAGCCTTCAAAACAAGGGGTGCCCTCCGTTCACACTAAGATCTGAGATTGAGATCTCCGCCTTTCCAGCAGCCTTGTTCACTTGATGGACAAAATCAGCGCAGCTGCATGGGAAAACTCTTGTTCTCGCTCAGTACAGGGGAAAGGGCACTCAATCGCCCGGTGGCCAGAAAACAGCAAAGGGGGCGAGGACTTGGGGATCCGAAAGATGTGAATGCATCAGGTAAAGGTGTATGTGTACGCCGAAAACGCGCATGTTTGCGCGTACACATAGATCTATATGCACAGAATGTGTGCTACAATGTGCTACATAAGCACATGGACCATGCCCAGGCAGTGTCAACCGCCAACGCTCGACCTTCAGGAGTTTGATAAACCAGCTACAGGGAATTCTGGAAAAATGCTAACACTCAAACACCAGCATTTCCTGTGCAAGCTCCTGTAGCTGGCTCCTTAGCCAGTTACCCATCTGCAACATACCATGCCCCAACCGCGTACCTCCATGTGCCGGACATAGCTGTTGATCCCCTGACACATGACGAGTCCAGACGGTTTGTCAGGCAGCTTTGACTGTCGTGATTCTTCTGCTCATGTTCCTGAGTTCCTACTGTGGATGGGCGAAATCCTTTTCGCTCACTTTGAAACCATGGGAAACCACTATTCATTGGTATTTACAAGCGAATCATCACTTTAGGGATTCTTAGGTGGTGCTGGTTTTTGTCCATCCACTGTGTATCTCTTTCTGAGGGCCCGCCTATCTCGCTTCCCTGATTACAGCCCCTTCAGATTGTAAGCGGGCTATCACTCGGAAGCTGTGCAGCTACAATATCCCACAGAATCTTCCACCAAATTGAAAATGTACGTACAGGAACTCCAAGGTTTACCCCCTTAGTTTCACTTAGAAGGGGGCCGGCATGCCGCCAAAGACCTACTGCGACCCGCATTCGCTGACACAATAAGGTTGCAACCCAACTTTGTGTTGGCCAGAACGGCACGGCAACTGTGCGCCCAGGCTCATCGGACTCCTCGTCTTTGGATGCTGATGCCTGGCCCAATCAGCTGCATGCAAAGACTGGGGCTCCAGGCTTCCCTCCTAGTGCCTAAAGGCCTAGATGTATCCGTCATTTAAGGGTTTGTCTCAAAATCAGGAAACAACCCCAAAAAGGCTGCCACCAACAAAAAGACAACCCCTCAGCTAACAATCTACTCAAGCCCAAATTGGGCTTAAGGCCAAACACAAGTACGACTACACAACGTCGCAAAGGCTGACGCTGACAATCAAAACACACCAAGCCAAAAGCCAGTTCCACGGCATTTGAGTGTTTCATCTGGATTTGGGTGTTTCATTTTCTCTGAGGTTTTGGTTGGTGTTTGTAGTTGCTGTTGGGGCTTGTGTGCTTTCAGGATTTCCTGCCAACACCTCAAATTCTCACGCACAAGCCTGCAGCACACCAACAGCAAGCCCCGGTGGCCGCTTCCGAGCGTGCCAGCTAGCGTTGAACCCGGCGCGTATTGGAAACACATGCCAGTTGGACTTAAATAGACTCATCACAGAGGCGAAGGAGCTATCACTACAGTCACACAACGTTCGAAGGTACATGATTGCCACTTTTGTTTTGGTCTGTGTAAAGGGAAAACAACATGACTCCCAGCTTTTGGGACACCGAATTAAAGGATGCACCGCTACAAGAAAGGATTGGCACTTTTGGAGTGCATGCAAGGGCAAACAGAACAGCTTTCGCATTGGCCCTTCACAAGGGCATCGAGCAATCTGTGGAACTTCACGAATCCTCCAAAAAATATGGCTTCTCTGGATGTTGTATGACAACCCAAAGAACATCAACCACTCATTAGGGGATCCCTCATTTGAAGAAACATCCACAAAAAAAAACAAAAACGGACACCGATTCCTGATGAGTTGATTTCCCCCTTCCTGACAAACTTGCGGTCTTTTGGGGCAAGCATAAGGGCAGGCATGACCAGTACCCAAGCAGCATGAATGCACCAGCAAATAAAGCAGGTTTCCTTCAAACCAAATGCAAGCGAATGGATGCGAGCGGATGGCTTTGGCCCAGTATTTCTCCATTATCTCCATTCTCATTTGGTCAACTTGGGGCCAACCCTGCGAACGCTGAAGTCTACCACAAGTAAAAATACGCACGCAGTTTCATGAACGAAATCTGCTCATGGAAACAGCCAACCGAGATGCAAATCAAGGCCGACACCACAATTGTCACGTCTTCTATTCCCAAGAAAAACTAGTGCACCTCGCCCAAACACCCAATCCGATAAACCCCTCACCCCTTCCCCGCTTCAGCCTTAGCCTTGGCGACGGGCTTCGACTCCTCCTCCTCGTCGCTGTCCCACTTTGCCTTGGCTGATGGCTTGGCCTCCTCTTCCTCCTCACTGTCCTCACCTCCGGGGCAAGCTTTTCTGCATCAAACGGAAGGCAAAACCAAGTCGAAACTAGAGATGCTGTAATAGGGCCTACTGGAGAAGACGAGAATCCAAACGCCAAAACACTTAATCTCAACTACAGTATTGGGAAGCGAGTGGGATGGTCAAGGCAAATTAGGTGCCACTTGATTTGCATTGGAACAGCTCGACCGATCGGCAAACGGAAAGCACGAGGGAGTCCGGCAACAACAAGGGACTATTCTTTTGGCCAACGTGACATCACAAAGCAGCGAGCCAAGAACAATATATAATGTATCATGTGAACATATGCAGCAACGTATCAGCAACACAAATTTCCATGGGCAAATGCAACTTGGACGTTGGATTCAGTCACGCTTAGCCAGATGGTCACATGAAATGCCACGAGAAGGTGGCCGCAGCTGCTGATACGTCGGGCCCTCTCGCGCTCTCTCTCTCTCTCTGTCTTTGGCTTGTTGTTGCTTGATGTCATTGCTGTTTCACTGTCCGCCGAACAATCATTGATTCAACTTTTGTTTTCTTAATTGAGTAATGAATATGAAAACCGGATTTGCTCATGACTCAACACTGGAAAACGCAACATCACATGTTGCTTGAGTACCAACCATTTAGTGGGTGTTCCTAGTGGCAACCCCATGCAAAGGCCATTTTGATCAACCCACCATATATTCATAATACGTATATATCACATGTCTGCATTTGTTCTGCAACACTCCTGCAATGTGTTGCATACCTGTGTACATGTTGATCGATATTGTACACATATTGCGGATGGACGAAATCCTGCACCACTTTGAAGGTATTGGAAACCATTGTTTGTTGGTATCTACATGGGAATCATCATTCCAGGGTTTCTTAGGTGGTGCAGGATTTCGTCCATCCACAGTAGTGAGCAACCCCAACAAACAGGACGGGTTTGAAAGGACCCGCCTTCCTCCTCCCGCTTTTTGGCCATCTCTTTCTCCTTCCTTTGGGCCTGCCATTGCCGCACTCCCTGGCAGAATTCCTGCCTTACATAGACGGGCACAGACTAGAGGTTTTGAAAAAGGGTGGTATTCCGGTGTACAACATCAAGAGGTAGATAACATGGGTGTGCTTTAGGGTGGATTCTGTTTACTCTGAAGGGTATCCTCCGGGCAAATATCGATGACTGACTGACTGACTAACTGAACTGAACTGAGCTGAGCTGAACTGAACTGAACTGAACTGAACTGAACTGAACTGAACTGACTGACTGACTGGGTGCCGACTGGAACACCTCACCACCAGTCGGAACAATGTAAGTCGAGACGAGTTGATCGGGCTAATTCTTGCTTGTCAAAGATGACGATAAACACAAATCTACCCGATTGCAAGGGTCCTTGTCTTCGCTCGTGCTTGGCCAGGCTTGCGGCATGGTCATCTTAAATCACAACCTGATACTGAGGAGGCTTATATATGGTCTGCGAGGAGCTCCCAGCATGTTGCAGTTGCAGTTCGCTTCGAATGGCCAAGCAGGTTGAGTCAAACCCATCTGCTTGCACAACTAATGTCCTGGTGTGTTGGTTTCAATTCAGCCAGCAGTAAACTTACATGTCAATGTGCATAAAAGCATGTTGTACACCATACTGATAAAACACATGTTTTTATATATATAATATGTACTTGTAATACATAATACAAAATATGATATATATATATATATATATGTGCCATGTATTATTATTGTTGAATATGGATTATTCTTAACTACTACTATTACCACTAGAAGTATCAGTAGTATGAATCCATGCATGCATTGTGTATGTGACAAACACATGTTTTCCCTTGAAATTTGACACGTGATGTCATGCAGTCCACTGAACACTACTTAAGGAATATACATCTGGGTTCTGGCGTTTCGAAAAAAGGTTGATCTCCAAGGTCGCTTTGGCGTCTTTAGCCACATCCAAAATGGGTGTCTTGCATACGGGACCCCGACAATGATGGCTTCCTTTGGCTTTTCTTTGAAGCAACCCCAGAAAGGGTGCCCACAACAAATACCCTTCAATTCCCAGCTCTCTGGGAATTTGTTGCCTTCTGGAAAACCTTGTCGGGTCAGGAATATCTATCCCTCCGGCCTGAAATAAGGGCCGCTCAAACAAAGTCAGGTTGCAACCCCTTGCTAAGGTTGCGCCTCCAGCTTTGCCTCGATGCCCTCATCATCCCACCTTAGCAGTTCGCTCGACGGCCGGGAGCTCACAATAGACCGGTCCTAAAAATAGGGAAAGCCTAAATGCCTACATATCGTATTATCTTGGTGGAAAATATATGTGGCCCCAGTTCCTGTTCGGTGCGTGTTGAAAAGCGGGCTGGCCTCGTGGTGTCAGCTACTTAAGACAGCTGAAGAGACGATGACATGGAACACATGCTGCCATTTGCAGATGTCAAACTCACTTGTGTTTACATTGTAGCCTTGGGGTCTGACCGTGTTGCTGGCCACAACACCCAGAGGCTCACTCGAAACGTTTGTGGATAGTCAACCTTCTATCATACTACAGTGAGCCATCCCCATGCCTAAGTGACGTAACATGATGCAACTTACCCCGCAGTTGATCTCCAAGACGACCAGAGGTGACAAGCGTAGACAACAAAAAGCCTGCTTGGCCTGTTGCCAGATTCGATTCACTGGATCTACAGGATGTCAGGTACCAAGTTCAAACTTCCTGACTGATACAGATGAGCACAACATGTGGCAAGCAAACAAGACACTGAACAGGCTTGGAAAGTCATGTGCGTGTCTGAAAATTAGGAATCCCTGTGGTTGTCTCATTTTGGCCTCTCTTTTAACACATCCAAATAGCTATCCTCCCATTTTGAGACAGACCCTCCGCCTTTGGAAGCCTTCAGCCGGGTATGCTGGTTTGTAAAAGCACAGTCTTGGCGTGGAGTTCAACAGGCGCAGAGTTCAGAGGTAGTGCCATTGATCGTGGGCCACTGTCATGGTCATTCCCTTCAGGAATCCTTAGCATGGTAGTCTGACATCCATGAAACTCTGTTGAGGGGTTGACTACCTCTACCAACCCCAAGTAAAGACAACGTCACCTATGGTCGACATGCTCCAGCAAGTCTGTGAAACATTGCCAACCCCCTTGCATGGAGCTTCTGACGGCCAACACGAAGTCTGTAATCCAGGAAGCACAAAACACGGTGGCAAGTCGTAAGGACCACGTCCACCTCGTCAATGACCAAGGCGTGTATTGACGAGCTTCTTGGATGATTCTTGCTCCCCACTTTCTGACACGGTCAAAAAGGCTCAAAAAAGGGGCCAGCAATTTCCGACACCGCATATTTCATGGCAAACAGCGCGCAATACATCTTATTGTCTGATCGGCTTCTATAGAAACACACCAATGCTTTACTTGTACAACACAAAGAAAGTTCAAGTCACTAGCGCCGTCAGGAACAGCACGCACTGGGTCCATAGAACTGACATCTTCAAAATCATCCTCTTGCCGGTTTGAAGGGAAACCACACCCACAGCTACTATTGAAAAGTCAACATGCAGCCACATAGCGGGGCCCAAAGAAAGTTCCGCGCTTACGCCGTCATTAGAGCGAGGCTGCGAGCCCTCGCAATGGCCAGGCATCAAAACGAGCAGAAGGAAAGCTTTAAACAGGCAACCGAAAACATCAAACTATCTATCACTTACATGCTATGTCTATGTTTGGAGTCCCTTTGGGGTCTAGGTGATTCCACCCCCGCAAGAAAAACACATGAATCGTCAAACTGCATCCAGTTGGACCCCGGACCCTAGTCTCGCTACCCTCCTTGCATGCTTGTAAGAAGTCCTTAAACCGTTGAAAAGAACCAGGGAGCCGCCGCGAACTTGCTGTCATAAATGCGAGGCTCTGCCTCGCGCATGCTAGCATCAGCGGGTGGATGCCCCGGCGCTCTTGTGCTCGTTCAGAGTTCTCCCGCATGGCACCCTCACAGGCAGCGCGTGGCCAGCTCGCCGTCTGACGCTCCATCCAACACTGCGCTCAAGTTGTGCCCAAATCCGTCGAACACAATGCGAGGCTCGGCACTGTCAGCTGGGACTTGTTGGAGACTACTTGTCTTCTTTCAGGCTACACCTTTCTAGGGTTACTTAACTTGATAACTTCCATTTGCTTAAGCCACCTGGAAAAAAAGCCCAGTTTTTCCCCCAGAAGTGACAGATTCCTATTGAAACCAACAAAGGAAAATGAACAATATTCATTTCAGCAAATGGAAGAGACGGAAATCAAAGGGCCCCCTCCGCAGTGTTGGAGGTTCCTTCGTATCTTGGAACCTTCGGTTCTTACCTGGTCTATCTGGGACCCAGGCTCGTCGTCATCGTCGTCCCAACCCATTTCCTTGGGAGACAGCTCTGAGTCTCTCAGGCAGTTTGGTGCCAATTTTGGCCTGGTGAAGGTCAAGGGACATCATGAGAGTGTTCAGAAGTCAAAGAAGTCAAACCCAAACGCTCATCGGAAACGAAGCACTTTGGGGTCTTACACTGCTACACTGCCAGAGGTGGAAGTGCAGAACAGACTTGGCACAAAGTGGGCAGGTCTGAATACCAGTTGGACCCTACACTAGTTGAAAGGAAGAGCCGAGGGCTTGGAGTTTTGGCGAGGTATGCGGTCTTTGCGTGGGAGCTGTGAACACGGCCGCTGAAGCAGCAGCGTCTAGTGCAGTGACTATTATTCACAGTACCATTTGGGGGCTTGGCTCCTACCTTCGACACCCCTCCTGATGAGATACCGGTCTCGCCGCAGGGGAGACGGAGAGCGCGAATGAAAATGCCTGTGAACAATATCTGGCTGAGGGGTCCACTGTTCCTTTTAAAGGTTCGGAGTCTCAATAGTCGGCCTGTCGGGGATTGTCATGAAAGGGGCCCTCATTCCGTCTGTCCCAAAGCCATTCTGAGAATGATACAATGGCAGGGGAAAGAATAGGCGTTTGTCGCTTGAAGAAAGGTAGGTCCAACTGCTGCAAAGTCATGGAAGGTGGCATCAGGGGGAAACGATCTTCGGGCTTAAGGGACTGCTGGGTCTTGAATCGGAAGCTGATAGGTGCAATGAAACGGACCCAAAAGCAGGGTTGGGCCAGACCCTTCTTGAAACAGGTTTAACTGTCCTTTCAACATCTGTGTGGGTTTCCTTTTGAGGAAACCAGGTAACCAACGAATAGTTCATTACACTCATTTTGCCCGGCCCTCGACAGGAGTGGGTCGTCTTTCTGGAATCCCGGATATGGCCCTTTCAATATTGTTGAAGCTCTGTGATCATTGACCGGCCAGGTGTGGCACTCCCCAAACGTACTTGAGGTTGAAAAGGAGACCACTGCTCACTTGGAAGCCTTCCGGAAAACATGTCCATAGAGTCCATTTGTGGATCAGCTGACTACTTGTAGATGCTGCTTCAGGGAATTTCCACAAGGAACGTTGTCATGACAGGGGTCCTCATCCCAAATTCCACATGCGCCAGCAAAACACATATGGCCCCTGGTCACGGCACCCTGAATGCCAATTTTTACATTGATTCTTCGCACTCCGGACTAAGAGGCTGATGAGCATCCCTGCAGAACCGGTCTTGTGACCATGGCATGGCCATAGACCTCCAAACCCACGACTTGACGGCCGAGAGGCGAAGTGCTAAACGGAGCCGCGTGGAAGCTCGGGGAAGAGACGAAAGGTGCCTGGGACGTTCAAAGGATGCCGAAGGGGAAACACATGTGGGTGTGTTATGCAAAATAGAGAACATATTTGTAGATGGTTTGAAAGAATTGAAGGGGAAACAAAAAGGACACCAGACATTGGAATGGCAGGAAAAAGGGGGCATTGCTCCACGGGTTGCTTTGCGGAAGAATTATATTAATGTATATATAAAAATATAATATATATATATATATATATATATTATCTCTAACATGGCTATAGTTTGGTGACCGAATCGCCCAGACCTTTTGGAAACAAATGGCTTTTATAAATTTACGAAAGGTGATCGATTTTGTTGCTCCAGACTTGGCAACCTACCCCTGCATCGGCTGCCACCTCTGCCGCTCTAGGAGCCACCAGTCGTAGGGCTTCCAGGAATTGGAAGTGGAGCTTCAGGCAGGCACCTTTTGAACTTGGGCTCAATTTCTATGCCCGGGCCGTCCCTGCAAGGGGCGAAGCGTTCTGACGAGCCAGCACTCCGAAAAGCACCAATGGAAGAGAGAGAGAGAGAGGGATACCGGTAGGGCTGCCCTAAGAATCAATCCTGTTTTCTGACTTTGACAACCCAACATGAGGAGGTGTGTCGGCACCTTTTGGGGCCGCCTTTAAGCATATCTTGCCGTGCAAGAGCTACTGAAGCCTCCAGATTGGCTTCCCCCGACGTAATCGACCTTTGACCTTCTGGTTGCAAGTTGCCAATGGGCAAGACAGGAGGCTCCAAAAGGCTAAGAGTGCCAGCTCCTTTGGGCCTTAGGAACAGAACTTGATTTGAACACCACTGGCTAGTACACTTTGATTGCTTTGTCCCACAGGAAAGCGCCAGAGCAAGCCTCCCTGAGTGTGGTGGGAGCTCGTTGGCAGAACTGCAAATTGACGACAGGAAAAGGCTGACAGGGGCAGGCAAAAGTTCAATTCCAGCAGCATTAAGAGAACCCAATGTGCGCGGAACCGCGGATTGTGAGAGGAGTGCATGGTCTAGGCTCTCGATTAAATTCATACATTTCATCATCAGCAACTTCCCTAGCTTTGACTCGCGCAAGGCACACACACACACACGCACATACACACACACACACGCATACCCAGAGGTTCAAACACAACTGCTTGTGAATACTCTACCAAAACATCGCCAGGGTCAACCAGGACCGATATGTAATTTGAAATGTGCTACTTCTTGATTGGAACCCCGAGGCCGCTACGTAAAACTATGAACCCCGCCCAATGCTTGGCCTGCTTCATGTTGAACACTAGCAAACACATGGCAATGCAGGGTCTGGAACTCATACTGGCAAACCTCACAGGGCTTGTGGTTGGCACGACTCCCAAACGCAAGGCTATTCTTCACATTCCCCTTCCCAAGAAAGTAAAGGTCTTCCATGCAGTGAGGCCCACACCTTGCTCTCCGTGGAATCACACTTTGACCCATGCTCACTACCACTCCGTACTCAGAGGATCCTGGTTACACTGTGCCAACATCAAATGCAACATGCATCCCAACCCCAAGAAGGTGTCCCCTTGCCACCTCTTTTGGGGGGTAAGAGAGGCCTACCCTCGAGAAGGAATCCTAACTTTCTTTTAGAGTTGGTTTGTGCCAGAAGAATGGGTGAAAAGCAAAGTGATCAATACCTTCAACGGTTTGTTTAAAGGCAACATGGTGGCGCCAAGCAAACAGCCCCCG